ACACACATATACACACATACACATATACACACATACACACATACATATACATGCACACACATACACACACGTACACACACACATACACACACACATGTACACACGTACACACACAGCATATGCATAAATGTTTCCTCCCCTCCATCCCTAGTCCCTATTCCTTCCCCTGTTGATTTTGGAGGAGACATACAAGGAGAATTTTCTCTTGGCTTTTAACGGACAGAGCAAAGATTCTCAACCATTCCAGGGGTCTCAGTTTTAAAGGCCTTCCTTCCTTCCCCTGTTTATTTATTCATCTACTTTGAGATATGATCTCATGTGGCCAAATCTGTCCTTGAACTCCTGATCCTCCTGCCTCTTAACCCTTCTAAGTGCTAGGATTCCAGACATGTGCCACCATACGTGTTAGTTCATCGGCGCATTGCTAGGTATCAGACTTTCAGGTGTTAGTAGGCAAAGCCTTTACCGACTGAATGACATTCCCAGCCCCGACATTTCATTTTTTTTAAGACTTTTTTTAAACTCTAATTTCAAATATAGCTTATGTGCATTATTGGAAAATATAGAAAGTGTTGGATGTTAAAAGCTGGGCTGGCCAGATGGCCTATTCTCAGACGATGCCTGCCGCATAAGTCTTACAATCAGAGTTCGAGCTGACCCCTGATAGTTGTCCTCTGACCTCCACGCATGTGCCATGGGGCTCACACCCAAACATACGTCATACACACACTTGCACGCTCACACACAATTGTAGGATTTTATTCTGTGTTTTTCAATAGTAAGAGTCTGTGCCCTCCATAAAGGTGCACTGTGGCAGAGAATCTTTGCTGACTACACAGTGGTCACTCCTCACTGACCTCCTGGCTATCTGCCTTACTACAAGAACTCAGACTTGGGGCTCTTTGTATCCTGGTGCCCCGTGTTTCTCTCACACTGTATGGCTTAGCTCTCAGTATGGCAGCAGGCATCCTGGCGAAGCACAGTGGATTAGAACAGCAGACACCAATGTCTTCCCCAAGTGACCTCAAGGCAGGTGTTTGGTTGCAGCAGTGTTGGGTTCTGCCCCAGTACGCTTCAGAACCAAGGCAGAAGAAGGAAGGATTTGCATGGCAGATGCTTAAAGCAAGAGGTTGGGGGAACTGGAAGAGTGTCAGAGAGCAGTCACATTCTGTCACGTTCGCTTGTATTACCCAGTCAGTTTACACGATTCAGGATTGGGGAAGTAACTCCACACATAGGAAAGGCACTTAACTGGCTTCCAGTCTCCCTCAGTGGTCATTCCCACACTCACCATCTGCAACTGGAATTTGGAGAGAAAATTGTCAGAGAGTTCTGAGAAAGCTGAGGGAATGTGCACCTGGGACAGACAGAGTTGTCCCCTGATGAGTCACATAACTCTGAGACTGTCCCTAGCTGCAGTGTCTAGATGGTAGTTTGTCCTTTCAGAGCCACCGTAGTGAAGTATAGGTGCTGTCCCTAGCAAGATGTCTGCAAGAGTGGCTGGGTTCTTTTGTCAACTTATCTATGATTGAATGAGATGAATGTATCCTATCTGTAAGTTCCACCATGAGAAAAAGAAAGAAAGAAGGAAGGAAGGAAGGAAGGAAGGAAGGAAGGAAGGAAGGAAGGAAGGAAAGAAAGAAAGAAAGAAAGAAAGAAAGAAAGAAAGAAAGAAAGAAAGAAATTAATTCCGCCATGATTGTCTCCCTTGCCAGCAACTTGGACATGTGGAAACTGGCCCAGGGACCTTGGGATTTCCTTGTTGTTATTTTGTTTCTTACCAAGATTTGCTTCTTTGTTTTGTTTCTTCTTCTTAGGTTTCCCCTGTACTATGAGCTAAAGATTGCCTTTGTCATTTGGCTGCTGTCACCCTATACTCGAGGGGCCAGTTTAATCTATAGAAAGTTCCTTCATCCCCTGCTGTCATCAAAGGAAAGGGTAAGGCTTACCAGTTACTCCTGCACTGTCTTTAAGTAGTGTGTGTCAGCATGTGTTAATGACCAGTGGTTTAACTAAATAAATCAGTGGTTTTATTCTAAAAAAACAAACAGGGGGAGGTGGCACACAACTTGGGAGGCAGAGACAGGTAAATCTCTGAGTTGGAGGCTAGCTAGCCTGATCTATATATCCAGTTCCAGGCCAACCAGGACTACATAGTCAGACCCTGTCTCATAAACCTGAATAAACTAACTTCTATTGGTGTGTTGTTGCTACTCTTTGCCAGTTTTTGTTTTTAAGACAGGATCTTACTCAATAGTCCTGGCTGGTCTGGAATACCCTATGTAGACCAGGCTAGCCTCAAACTTACACAAAGATCTGGTTACCCACAGTACTAGGATTAAGGCATGCACTACCATACCCAGCTTATATTTATTTTTTTCCTCAGGGCCTCCTGTAGCCCAGGCTGGCTTTGAACTTATTGTGTAGCTGAAAATAACTTTGGGCCGGGCAGTGGTGGCGCACGCCTTTAATCCCAGCACTTGGGAGGCAGAGACAGGTGGATTTCTGAGTTCGAGGCCAGCCTGGTCTACAGAGTGAGTTCCAGGACAGCCAGGACTACACAGAGAAACCCTGTCTCGAAAAAAACCTAAAAAAAAATAAAAATAAAAAAAAATAACTTTGAACTTCTGCTCTAACTACCCCTACCTCCCTACAGGGATTCCAGAGATGTGTTACAACCCCTAATTTTACTGTTAATTTTTCCGCCTCCCCAGGAAATTGATGATTATATTGTCCAAGCCAAAGAAAGAGGCTACGAGACGATGGTGAATTTTGGACGGCAGGGTTTGAATCTAGCAGCCGCGGCCGCCGTCACCGCAGCAGTGAAGGTGAGTTTGCCTTTGTCTGTTTAGCCGGGGTCTTCTCCTCAGCAGAGGCAGAGAGGTAGCTAGTTTTATTTAGATCACTGTAGGGCTGTGATAGAATTTTGTTTCATATTTATTCTAACACTGGAATAAACCAGTCGGTCATTTTAATGATAGTTTGACACCTCATTTTCTATGCTTCTTGGGAATCCAAAGCTCTTAATTAATTATGAAATTAGAAGTAGCTAATAAAACATGCCTGCAAATGCCGTTTGGGGGTACAAAGCTCCCCTTTTAACCTTGATTAGTTTTGATAAATCACCTTAAGTAAAGATGACCATTCTTTTCTCTGTATCTTTGATGTTTCTCTCTCTCTCTCTCTCTCTCTCTCTCTCTCTCTCTCTCTCTCTCTCTCTCTCTCTCTCTCTCCCCCTTCCTCCCTCTCTCTCTCTCTCTCCCTCTTTGTGGCACTGCCTTGCTAGGATTTCTGGCTTACATCTGCACCTCTACTTCCACCAATTTGAGGTAACTGCTTATTCAATATAAAGCATGTGAAAAGTGTGTTCTTAGAACTGGGAGTTTACTCAGCGGGTCACTAATGCCACAGCTCTTCCTTCAAACCAAGTAACCGATTGAATGCCTTCTCTGGAAACTGTCGCTCTGACTTTCGGATTTCTTTGCATGGAGTCCTTGGTGTGGCTTATTTTCAGTAGCACAGCATAACTGATTTTAGTGTGTGGCGTATGGGAAATAAAGAGAAAAGAACAGACTTCACAGTGCTGGCACATGGTAACCTTTGAAGTTACCATGAGCGGTTTGCTAATCTGTGTGTACCTGGGAAGCTTTGTGTCTAAAGGAGGGTATGAGGGTGGTATGTCTGTGAGCGTACAAGGTGGCACTGCACTCGCTCGTAGTGGGAACCCGGGAATCTTAATGTCCGTGCGAATGGTTTACTAATACGAAATAAGATGGGGTATTAGTGTTCTGCTTTCCTACGGAGTTCTTTTGTTGTTTCTTGTTGTTTTAAGATTTATTTTTATTTTAATTGTGTGTGTGTGTGTGTGTCTGTGTTGGTATACTTGTGAGTGCAGGTGCCCATGGAGACCAGAGAAGCTTGTCTGTGACTCTGTGTGTGTGTGTGTGTGTGTGTGTGTGTGTGTGTCTGTGTATGCATGTGAGCACAGCTGCCTGTGGAGACCAGAAGCTTGTCTGTGTGTGTTTGTGTGTGTATGTGTGTATGTGTATGTCTGTGTGTGTGTTTGTGTGGGTATGTTTGTGAGCACAGGTGCCCATGGAGACTAGAAGTGTGTGTGTCTGTGTGTATCTGTGTGTGTATTTGTATGGGTATGTATGTGAGTGCAGGTGCCCATGGAGACTAGAAGCTTTTCACTGTATGTGTGTCTGTGTCTGTGTGTCTTGTGTGTTTACATGTGAGCTCCAGGACCGATGGAGACCAGAAGTGTAGGATTCCCTGGAGCTAGAGTTACAGACAGCTGTGAGCCTCCTAATGTGGATGCTGGGAACTGAAACTGGGTCATCTGTGCTCTTAACTGCTGAGCCGTCTCTACAGCTGGAGTCAGAGTCTTCTTAACTCACCTATGCAATGGAAAAGATATAGTTCAGTTAAGCAGCGGTGAAAGAGTGTCCTTACCTGAGGGCGCCCTCCGTTTGCAGAGGCCTTTGGCTCACCTCTCAGAGTTAATATAATCAAAAGGTGAGAAATCCGCATGCTGTTCCTAGCAGTGTCATAGTGAGGGCTAAGTGGAGATTCACTAACAGGACATATGTAGGTAACTATATCGATAATGGATTATAGATTACAGTCATATGTTTCAATGTTTACTACTGTATAGTTTTCCTCTGACTGAGCTCGTACGGGGGATTTCTTTCTTTAAAATAGATGGAGAAACACTAACATGGCAACATGTTGAGCTTATTGAGGCTTATTGGGTTTTGTTTCTTGCTTCGTGAAAACACAACCAACAAAAAGACCACCCAGGAAATCATCCTTCCCAGCTAGACCTTGGGAAAGGAGAAGACTGACGTGATCATCAAAGAAAAATAAATCATACAATATGTTGAGGGCAGTGAGCCTCCAGATCAAAGGGCCCATATGCCACCCAGCACCACGGGGGAAGAATGACCATCTCTGAGCAGGGCTGTCGCCACCCCCCATCCCAAACCTCATCTCCCAACACCAGTAAGGAAGCTCGAATTCTTAGATTTCAGACATTAAAAGCACATCATGTTCAAATCACCTAGCATCAGAAGAGCAGTAAATTTCTAATTAGTGACAGCGAGATCACGAAGCTGGTGTGACATCGCCCTGATGACATCACCCATGATTCTATCCGGTAGCTAGAGCCAAAGTTCTATAATAGGCAAGCCTGTCCATCAGGCATGAACTTAAAATAATTGAAAAGGAATAAATTTTCTTTTTAAATTATGCAAGCAAACCCATACAATGTACCAACTGCACATGCTTTGTCGGGGTGGGTATGTTCTGTCAAAGCTAAAGAGGAAAAGAAAAAAGAAAAAATGTAAACCGGTGGGATCTGGGAAATAGGTTATCCAGCACAGAAGGGAGATGGTGCGATTCCCCAGAAGGACGCTGTGCATCAAGTTCAAGTGTAGACAGTTGGAAATGGATTATGTGGATCAAAAGTTCTGAGAGAGATGCTTCTGGAAGAAGTCCAAAATCGAAGCATAGAGACAGTAAAGTATGCTTGATGCTGTGCACGGGAGATACTTACCCCAGCTCTGTGTGTGGCGTGACCCACCAAAGAACTCACAGGGTGCAGACAGAGTGTGCCTGCGCAGCCGTGCGTCCCCCTGAGCACCATGGACATGTGTTTTGGTGACTATGCGCACAGTAGGACCACTAAGCAAATGGAAACCGAAATGGCAATTATTAATACTGTGAGACGAAGCAGCATAAGTTATATTAGAAGCAAAGTCCAGTGATGCAACTTGGCCCAGCTCCTCAGTGAGAGAACACAAAGGATTGAACAACTGTGATCCTGCTGTGCTGAGAAACTAGGGGTCGGGGTGGGAGGGGTGAGGGTGGGGGGGGCAAGGGAGGTAGAAGAGAAAGATTGAACTCTTGTAGCACAGGTCAGCGGGTGTAGAGTAGTAAGTTCATCTACAGGGTGCGATAACAAATGGCTCGCCGCCTCCCCTTTAAGCTTAGCATGGTTCGACCTTGCAGGCCACGTGATTATATTTACTTACACCTCAAGGACATTTCTGAACTTGTCGTATTTAAAAGCTTCAACGTGATCCCGTGGAGAGAACAGCAAATTCAATTTCAACCTTAACTGTGCTTTAAGAACACATAGGAGGCCATTGTTTCAGTCAATACAGAAAGAAATCCCAGCGGTTCTCAGTTTGACACTTAGAGATCCTTTCTAGTGTGTTTGCTCCTTGTAAGTATGGGCACCGTGTGCGTGCCTGTCACTCACAGAGGACAGAAGCAGGGATTGGATCCCCTGGAACTGGAGTTAGAGATTGTGAACTGTGCTATGTGGGTGCCGGGAAGCAAACCCATGTCTTCTGTATAGGAACAGCAAGTGTTCGTAGCCACTGAGCCATCCCTCCAGCTCCTGAGACAGACATGTTATACAGTATTAACTGCCTTGTAGGGCATTCACTCTATCTTGACCTGTATTTATTGATCCTGCCATTGCTCCGTGGGGCGCCAGCAACCTCATGGTGTTACTGTATTCTTATTCCCTTATTCCATCTCATAGTTTGCTTTCACCAGTGTTGACAATTCCCTCAGCCCCTATGTTGCACATTTAACATCTCTCTCTCTTTAATGTCCAGTCTAAGACAGGAGGAGCTGGTGCAGCAGGAAATCAGTTACTGCCTGGCTGTACAGCCAGTGTCTGGATTGCTAACTGAAATATGTAACCTGTCTTTTGTCTGTTAAGACCCTCTATTATTAAATAATAATATCTCACAGAGAGACTTTTCTATAAAAATGTCCCAAAAGATAGTCCTGCATCTGCTTCCCCTTTTGTGATTCATGGATTTTTTTGCTTCTATATTTAACAACTCAAAGTCTCCTCTCCACCTCCCAGGCAGGAAACAGAGACTCCAAAACCGTCAGAGGCAGTGCTAGGAACCAGGCCCACCCCTGAAGTTCACTTCCCTATTGCTGGCGATGGTGTGGGTCTTTAAGTAAAAAGTATCAGTGAGGGAGGTGACGTCATGGTCGCATGATGACTCCAGGAGTGCCGGACACTTGATTAGTCGTTGGTTCTTTTGTGTCAGTTAAAAATGATCAGTAACTGTTAAGTACTACGTAATGTTAGCTCTGTTGGCCTCAGGTTATACAGCGCTTATTTTAAAGTGGCTGAAATTAGTTTCATCTGTGGAGACTTTATGTCTGCTACAAAAGTCTTAGTACAGAAGAACTTACTGAAGCAGGCATTTCAAATAATTCAAGTAAATTGGAACCAAATTAAGAAATAGGTCAGAGCCGGGCAGTGGTGGCACACGCCTTTCATCCCAGCACTTGGGAGGCAGAGGCAGGCGGATTTCTGAGTTCGAGGCCAGCCTGGTCTACAGAGTGAGTTCCAGGACAGCCAGGGCTACACAGAGAAACCCTGTCTCGAAAAACCAAAAAAAAAAAAAGAAAGAAAGAAAGAAGGAAATAGGTCAGGATTGAGGAGAAACTGGGAGAAAAATGATGGCAAAATTTGTGCATTTTTTTTTAAATAACATGTAGTTTGTTAGAAATATCTTTTAGGGGTAAAAACTCTTAGACTCTTCGTATGATATTTAGAGAACAGTAATTTCCTCCCTAGGATACCCAGGTTGAATCACCTGAGCATGTCAAAAAATGAAAACAGGAATCTAATCAGGACGTTTATTACACCATAAAGCGGTTTTCTGGAAATGCTGCTCAGTCCCGTGGCCTCATTACCAGGCATCTGTTCACAAGGTCGGTGCACAAGTTTATTTTGGCTGAGCGAAGCACAAATACATGAAGGACCTTCAAGGATTCTGCTGAGGAGGCT